GAGGAAATTAAGGGTAGAGCAAAGACCATGGAGGTAAAAAGCCATGGTAAAACAAGCTTCTAATTTTCCTTTGCTGTTCAGTAGCTATGTGATCTTGAGCCATAAGTAACATTTATGTTCTGTGCTAAAAATAGGGGCAACTAAATGTCAACCGGCACTGAAGAAAATTGACTTTAAAAATGGCATATACCTTTAAATATCTTAAATTCCAGTATGCCAAAGTCCAGAGCAGTAGGAGATTCTCCGTAACCTAATCGGTGGATGTGGCTTAGCCTATCCTGAGCAACACGAGACAGGTAGAATTGTTAATAAGTGCTTCTTATTTTTGCAAGGCCACACAAATGCCAGGCAGGCACATTACCACTGAGCTACGTCCTCAGCCCTTGTTGCTGTGGCAGCTTCTGTGTTCTAAAGCAGTGACTACACACAGGTCGTGAAACACACAGAAACATAATACAAATACAAAAAATGAGTATCATAAATTTACAACAAGAGTAGCCATATTAAACTATCTTTCCATATAAAGAAGAACAGTGGGAAAATACATATGCATCTGTTTATTTGTTTAAAAAACAAAGCACCCGAAGGATAAACTAGTGAAACTGGGAATGTGTGTTAACCAGGAAAGGGGAACAGAAATAGGAGTGAGAGTATACTGTCACGTCTTGATGTACATCACATTGTACAATTTTGGTTTTAGGGTCATGTTAATGCTTCACATACTCAAAAAACTAAACATGTTGTTACAATATTAGAAAGTTCATCTCAGCAAAAGGACCCATGCATGGCAAAGCAAAAAGTGCCACCATCAGTGTCCCCAGACCTGGGTGGGCCAGATACCCATGGGCCCCTCCCCAGAGTATCCAAGAGTTTATCACCAGCAAACACATTGGCAAAAACCTTTATCCAACAAGTATTTCCTGGAAACTTACTGTGTGCTAGTTGCTAGTCTTGGCTCTGGGCACAGGGCTGTGAGCAGAGGCTCAGCCTAAATCTAGTCTAGTTAGTTTCTGTGGAAATGATTCAGTTCATTCTCTCTGTAAGCCCACAGGTGCCTATGGTGCCCGACTTCACTGGAAATTGCCTGTCATGGGTCACTGTTCTTTAAAGCGAGTGGAGCTTCCTGTACCCCTACATAAGTTTGAACGAAAAATAGGAGAAAAGGATCTTTGCTAACTCCCTGAGAGAAGAGATTCTATAAATATCCTGTCCAAATTCCGTATGACTATGCCAGTTATCGCCTTGCACGGGACTCATTTAAAATTCTATCTCTAGTGCAAGAGTGCAAGTTCAAACAAAAGCCCTGGGACCCCTCATTTGCTGTGTCCTCGGAGTCTCACCCAGGCACCCAAAATACTTGAAGGGCCTAAGCACTGGTTTGAACGTTATATTGGAGACTTGGCGTGGGGATGACACCCCCCTCCACCCTTGGTAGAGGCCCTCCCCACCTCATATTAGGAACAGAACTGAGGACGTCTCTACTCATGAGCAAGGGACACGGATGGACACACACACACACACACACACACACACACACACACATGCACGCACCCTCCACCGGCAATGCACGGCAGCTCCCGGGCTGTACAGATCCAGGCCAAAGAGCCCTGGGACTCCCGGGCTTTTCCCACCCAGCCCCGCGGAGTTGGCTCCTCAACCCTCCTGGCGTGGACGTCTCTAGGTGGCCGGCCCTGGATCGCACTGCCCCTGCGCAGCTGGGCAGCCGCTAATGGAGTCCCAACCGGCCTACAACGGGAGAAATGTGAGTTAGTGGTTGCTCTCCGGCCGGTGCGCCCTAGTGCTGAAAGGAGAGGAAGGAGGATCCCGGACCCGAGACTCCAGCTCCCAGGTCTCCAGCAGACTAGGAGAGGACAAAAGGCTGTGACCAGACAGCGCCGGAAGCAGAGCGACTCATAGACAGTCTCTGCCCCGCAGAGATTTGGCAGGCGCGACCGGGATACAGTTCCCCGGCCTCCGCGGATGCCAGCCTGGCCCCAGACAGCCGGGTCCAGAGCGAGGGGTTGCGGTTGCGCCGCTCTGGAGGAGGCACCAAGCCTTCTCGGGACCCAGATCGCAACCTTTCCCAGCAGGAAACGAGGACGACAAGGGCCGGAACCCAAGGCTAAGATTTGACCGGGACTATTGCTATCACCACGCAACGTCTTTTTTTTCTCTGACTTCCTACCTTGAGCTAGCGCAAAAGTCCGCAGTGAGAATTCCACCCTGTGATAAGGCTTCCACCGGAAGTTTTGGGCTTTTTGTTTTAAACTGGGGTGGCCCCGCCTCCTGGCCCCAGCCCTTGGAAGGCGGGGAGAGAGCCGCGCTGACCCCCAGCTCCCCGAAGTCTAGTAGGGGCGGAGCGTCTGCGGGCCGCCAACCCGCGCCTCCGGCATTCTTGGTCCACCTTGCGCGGTGTCCCGGACGGTGGTAAATATGGTCAACCAGACCTTGCTCTGCACCTGGGGGAGGGCACGAGCTTTCTAGGAAGTCCCGGGACCATACGTTTTAGAGAGCCAAGACATTTGATTCATTAATGTCTCTCACATCCTGAGCAAATAATCAAAATATGAGCAAAGGTTATGGTACAAAAATTAAAGGCGCAAGCATGAAGGTACAAAAGTAAAGTCTTATTTACAATGGTGGAAAAAATCAGCTACTAATTATCTAAAGTATTAACAGTTACGTGCCATTCATTACATAGAATATTAAGTTGGTATTTTAAATCATACTTGAAAAAAACTAATGAAGTGCTAGACGTGCTTATGAACTGAATTTGAACTCATACAAATCCATATAGCCTGTGAGTGCACATAGGTAAAAATAAAAAGAGACAGAAATGCATTAAAATGTTATCTCCCAGTGAATGTTTTCATTCCAGCTTTTCCTTATTTTCCATTTTTGCCAAGGCACCCATGATGGCTTTAAAGTCAGAAAAATAAAACCGAAATAAATACATGTGTCATTACAAGATTTTGAGATCTCTTGAGAGAAAAGGCTGACTATTAAGAAAAAGAGAAGAAAGGAGGAAAGAAAAAGTTTCTCAACGTTTATTGTTTTGACAAGAGGCTATCTGAGGACACCATGGGGACAAGGAGCAGAGTGACTTTGGGAGTCACCTCTACTTCTCCTTATGGGGGGAGGGAGTAGTGGGGTACCCTGTGGATACAGCTTCAATATGAAGATTACAAGATGCCATGTGTCTGAAATTCTGACTTGGTAGCAGCATGATGAGACGTGTTGAAATTGTGTATGCATTTGTCCTTGCCCATGAGCATGGGGTGGAAGGTTGCCTGGGGTTTAGGTAAATATCAGGGAATATTAACACCCACACAGTTCTTGTAACACTGAATCCCCACAAGGTTTAAAAAGCATTTGACCTGAAATCCCAAAAGCAACTCTAGTAAGATCCCATTTTGATTTCAAAATATTAAAAAAAAAAAAAAAAAAAAAAACCTCAACCGGGCGTGGTGGCGCACTCCTGTAATCCCAGCACTTGGGAGGCTGAGGCAGGAGGATCATTGCAAGTTCGAGACCAGCCTGGGCTACAAAGTGAACTCAAGGCCAGCCTGAACTGCACAGCTAGACCCTGTCTCAAAAAGACCAAAAAAGAAGAAGAAGAAGAAGAAGAAGAAGAAGAAGAAGAAGAAGAAGAAGAAGAAGAAGAAGAAGAAGAAGAAGAAAACCACAAAACTCATAGATTCCAAATCCCTTGACACTAAATCATGTTTTGTAGTAGTAACAACAGTAGTGGACGTTCGGTGATGATTTCACACACATTCTCTTATTAAATTTTCCTAAGTTCCCGATGACCGACATACTATTATTTCCATTTTATTCATTTTCGGTCATGGAGACTGAGCTCAGGGGCTGCCGCACTGAGGTACATCTCCACTTTCCTTCTTTTAATCTTTTATTTTGAAATAGGGTATCATTAAATTGTCCAAGCTGGGTTAGAACTTGGAATCCTCCTGCTTCGCAGGTGTGGGCCATCACACCCAATTTATCTCCGCTTTTTATGAAAATAAAGCTTGAGAGGTTAATACTTTGCCCCCAAGCCCATAGATGTGTCGCAGAGCAAGAAGCAGATCTGTCCGCTGTATCCGCACATCAGCGCCAGCAGCGCCAAGCAGCGCTTCTGCAGATCTAACACTGTCCGAACTTTTCCACCCTTCGGCGGCGCCGAATTTCTATGGGCTCAAAGCAGTCAGCTGAGGGTAGAGACGAGGAAGGAAAAACGAAACCGCGACCAGAAAGGCGAGGCGAACCCCCTTCTCTAACCTTCTCGAGGCTGGGCTGTCATCTTTCCTCCTTCCCAATCCCTTTCGGAGTCCTCCAAGGGGACAGGGGCTCCTCCAATGCAGCCCTACGCCCATTTTCGCTCCGGGCTCTGGGACGCTGCTCTGGCGAGTCGGATCTCCGCAGGCCCTGGAAGGGGCTCCCCGCAGCCGCGAGCTCCGCCTTGTCCGCTCAGATCTCGATGCACACCTTCGATCCTCGGCTACCCAGCCGCCTGTGCCTCGGTCTTCTCCCTCCGCGCCCTAGCCGGCTGGACAGGCTCTGCAGGCATAAAAACTACTCCACCCCCACCCCCACACACCCTCTGGGAGGACCCCAGGGGACCGCGGGTGGCTCTCGGAAGCCCCCTCCCCGTACCGTGTGGACCTCGATGCGAGCCTCGTGCAGCACCATCTCTCCTTTGCTTGCTTTGATTTTGGAGCCATCGGTTCCAATCAAACGTCCCCGGAAGGTGACTAGGGATTTGGCAGGTTTGGAGCGGGGCGCCAGGGGCGCACTCTGGGAGGGAGGTGCGGGGTCAGCACGTGGTCTTCGCGGGAACCAATGGGGGGCCGCGGACTGGCCACTGGCCTGGGCTCCCAGCCCGCAAACAGCGCCCAGAGGAAGGCGCCTTAGGGGCCGCTGGCTGTGCGCCGCAGAGCTTGGACCGGTCTCCGGAATCTGCAGCGCCTCGGGACGTTGTGCAGAGCCGGACGCTGACTCCTCGGCCCCGCCCCCTCCGCCTGCGGGATGCTGCTGAGCCGGGTCACCTCCACCCCCTTCTCCGTCAATGACATCCTGCGGCTGGAGCGCGAGCAGGGCGACCTCGAGGTTTCCCCACAGTGGGGGCTGCGGGGGAGCCCGGAAAACCCTCAGTACCTGGGAGTGGGCCCGGCGGTTCACCGCGCCTGCGGTGGGGGCGGCAGAGGGAGAGAGCGATCCGAGGCTCGCGGGGGTCCCTGTGAGGCGGCGGTGGAGATGCACGAGGAACGGGTTGGGGAGCCACGTGAGTAAACGCTCCGTCTTCTTCCTAGGGGAATAACGAGGGCGTGGGTCATCGCGTCTCCTAGTCTTCTGGGCTCCAGGACGTCCCTCTATTTTCCCTCCTCATCTGAGGAATCCAAAAGACGGGCCTCTCAGCCGCGCTGCACACGCAGACACACACACACTGCGCTGCACCAGTCCTAAGGAAAACAAAGCCCTGAGTCTCCAGGATTCACTTCCCACCACAGCCCCTCCAGTTCCTCCACCGCCCAGTTCCTCATTCCCAAGTGCAATCCGCTATGGTAGCTTAGCAGTGCTGCATCTCCACCGCCCTTCCCTGCCTACGCTACACCGTCTGAAAACAAAAACAAAACAAAAGCCCCGCAGCCACCCAAGCAGTGGAACCCGTGAGGGCACCGTCCTTGGCAGCCCTTCCTAGGGCATGCTGAGCGGCCTGGCCGGGCTGCCCTCCACGTGCCCTGGCTGGGAAATCCGGAGGTGATGATCAGGTGGGTCTGAGTCCTTCGAACCAGAGGCCCTAAGGGCGCTGGAACACTTCAGGCTTCGGCTGGCCTGGAAACCTCTCTAGCTGAGTCCTAGACACATGCAGCGCAGGGGCAGCAAGGCCCTGGAACCTGCGCCCAGATTGCAGGGAAAGGAGAAGATGGAGAGTTGGATTGCTTTGCTGGCTTCTGTGAATCGGAAGACTTTGGCCCAAAAGGCCTGACATTCCCAGAGATGAAAAGGCCACCTTCCTCCTGCCAAGCCTCTATACCTTGGCCAGTGCCTCAAGAGGGTCCTCCCCTGCTAGGCTGTACCAGGGAGCCTCTAGTCAAATCGCAGCTAGCCAGCTAAATAAAAGGAAAAGACTCGGAGATGTGTGTGGAGTAGGAGGACGGTTATTCACCGACTCCAGAACCCTGGAGAACACTAAACTTTGCTGTGCTCTAGAAGCTCCTGGTTTTTGTGCAGCAGACTGCCTCTAAACACCATTCTCTGAGTGCTGTCCCGACAACTCAGCTTTCACTTAGGCTTGGCTGAGGAAAGGTCACTTTCCTGGGTCACTGTCTCCCAGCAGGAGCCATGCACTGCACAACCCACCTGGAGCCGGCCGCAAGAACCCAGCTCACCGCCTGATGGCTATTGTGCGGTCAGGCACAGTCCCTCCCCTGCCTCACACATACCCCCTGGAGCCACCTGGGCTTCAGGAACGCAAAGCAGAGGGGAATCCAGATCCAGACCCGGAAAGCACACAGTGGGAGAACTTACCCAGTGTGCTGCAGCTCCCTGGCTTTCACAGTGACTTTTTTTCCTTCCTTCCTTCCTTTCCTCCTTCCTTACATCTTTCCTTCCTTCCTTCCTTTCTTTTTCTTTTTCTTTCTTTCTTTTTATTTTTTGGTCTTTTTGAGACAGGGTTTCGCCTATGCAGTCCAGGCTGGCCTTGAACTCACCCTGTAACTCTGGCTGGCCCCGAACTGAGCTCCTGGCTCAGCCTCCCCGGTGCTGGGATTACAGGCAGTAACTTTCGAAAGGTTCCTGCTTGCTCCAAGCGTCACTGAAGGTCACTTACATTTTGATTTGCTAAGAAAACCACCCCTTTACCTTTCTCCGCACATTCCCTCTTTTTCAATATACTTGGTTTCTCTGAGTGCAGGCGTCTCTGAAGGAAGTTTTTCTATCCTCAGTTTTTAAATACCAAACAGCCTTATTCCCCAGGAGGCTGTGCCGCTGCAATTGGGGATTGAGAGTGGAGTTCCAACCCGAGCAGACTCTTAATTAGGCGTTGACTACCCGGAGGGAAGAACCTGCACTTCCCCATAAGTGGTCACCTCGGAGTTACTGCTCCCCTTGGCCGAATCTCTGTGAAAACTTCGCGTTTGCTCTCTACCTGTCCTGCCAAGGAAAACAGTGAAGTCAAGACAGGAGAGCGGTGGGAACAGGGAAGGGAAGGCTGCCTTTTGGTGGGCTTCAGACACAGTGTCACCATCTTGCCGGGAAAGAGCACTTGAGGTGACACCCGCGCCGTTTGCTTTCCAGAAAGACCCCAAAGGGACAAGAGGCAGCTCCTTTGAGAAGCCAAATGTGGGTCTCAATTCCGTTCCATCAGAGGAAGCTGCTTCCAAGCCACGAGTCTCGGGTCACAGAATATTTCATTTAATTTTATTTTGTCAGTTTGGATTTAGAAGGGCACGTTGGCAGTGCCAGCCTGCATGGAACAGGCCCACACACTCCCACTTGGGCCTCACTGCAGAAATTCCGTCAAGCGACCACCTTACCCAGCCCCAGAAAGGGGCCAGCTCGATCAGAGAGTCGGCTTTGGGGAAAGGACGTACACCGGAGACCACAGCCGGTCCTGGCAGGTTCAAAGCCACAGAGCTGGGAGGAAAGGAACAGGCAAAGGCACTTGGCCTGGGGTTTGGGGCCAGGAGAAGAGGGTGCGGAGTGAAGGCTAGGGGCGGGGCTGCTCTTGAAAACGAGGCGAGAGTCGCTCAGGCGAGCCTTAGGTTGGGTGTGACGCTTAGGAGTTCTTTCCTGTGCTTTCAGAGTCCGACCCGGCCGCGGTCTTGCCCCTCGCCGGCGGTAACAGCAGGGAGCTGGCGCCCAGCGTTAGCCAGGGAGGCGACCGCGTGCGCGGTGGCGGCCCCGAGCGGCCCAAGACGCGACAGCGGCGGAAGCCACGCGTGCTCTTCTCGCAGGCGCAGGTGCTGGCCCTGGAGCGGCGCTTCAAGCAACAGCGGTACCTGTCGGCGCCCGAGCGCGAGCACCTGGCCAGCGCGCTGCAGCTCACGTCCACGCAGGTCAAGATCTGGTTCCAGAACAGGCGCTACAAGTGCAAGAGGCAGCGCCAGGACAAGTCGCTGGAACTGGCCGGCCACCCCCTGGCGCCGCGCCGGGTGGCGGTGCCAGTGCTGGTGCGCGACGGCAGACCCTGCTTGGGCCCGGGCGCGCCTGCCTTCCCCAGCGCCTATGCCGCAGCGCCCTATTCTTGCTACGGCGGTTATGTGAGTTCCCCCTACGGGGCAGGATACAGCGCTGGCTACGCGGGGCCCGGCTCCGCGCCGTCCACGCCGCCGGCCAGCTCCGGCTTCGGGCACAGCGGCCAGAGCACCACCCCGCAGGGCCATCTGCCTGCCACGCTGCGGGGCGTCCGGGCCTGGTGAGGCGCCCTCTCCTCCTGGCTCGGTCCCCTCCCTCGCCCACGGGTCCCGCTCTACGGGACTGGAACTGCTCGGGAGGAGCCGTCCCCCAGGCCCTGTGGGTGTTCCTCCCCCAGGGACGTGGCGCGGGACACAGTATAGAGAGGGCAAAAGATCTTAGGTGGCTGACGTCTCGGGGACAGGAGCAGCACTGAGGCTGGTGACTTTTCGGGGCTCAACCCCTGGGGCCCGAGGGGCTCTTCGGTTGCGTGTGCAGCAGCCCGGCCCCCTGGGAGGTGGAGAGGGTGTCATCTAGAGGGGCTCCGTCCTCCAGCAAGGGAACTGAGGCGGAGCGTAGAGAGGAAACGGGAAAAAGCGAGGGAGTGGGAGGTCGGGAGGGTTGGAGCCGGGACGCTAAGGCTGCGAGCCACGTCCTGCGGCTCCGGGCCGGCGACCCTGGGAAGAGCGCCTGCGCTCGGGCTCGCCCCGGGAACCCTGCGTTTCACGTCGCACATCCCGCGCAGCGCCCGAGCGGAGAGACTGCGTGGCCCTGGTGTGTTGGCATCCCCTAGGCCGTTAGCATCCTTCTCTCGGGCAGCTCTGCACAACTTCGAGTTGAAGCAGAAGCTGTAGGGAGACAAAAGTGACCGAGCCCTGGAGGTGGCTCCTGACTGCAGCTCTCCCGCCCCTCTTTCCCTCTCCGTGGGTTTTCTTTTGGAACAGAATCTGTTTCTAAATTCTGCATCAGGAAAGGAGATCCCGACTCGGCTCTAAGTCCCAAAAAGATGGGTCCAAAACCTAACGTTTAACTCCCTGAAATTATGAAAATTGGACATCCTCTCTCCCCTATCCTGAAGTCATGCAAACTGAAGGTGGAAAACAAATTCAGTGTATTAATGGGAACACGGGATCCAGTAGGAATTGTCCTGGGCAGGACAGTTAGTAGGAAAGTCTAGAAGGTTGCCGCGGACTTAGCAAAGGTTCGGTTCTATTATTTAATAAATCTTCGTGTTTAATTAAAATGCACTGCACCTGCTTGTTCTCCCCTCTGAATATACCCTGATTGTTTTTACTGAAGTGGGAAATGGTGTTTGATCCTATGTAAATGCTACATGACTCCCCATCCTTCACAGCCTTTAAATTTACATACTTAAACAAGAATTGTTCATATTTTTCTTACTATTTCCTTACATTTTCACTTTTTTGTTTTCATCACTTCTTCCTTTTATTTTCCCATTTCTGCTGCTAATAAAAATGTATTTAGACAAACATCACAGTGTCTTTTAGTTGTGCCCGTAGGATTTAAAAAATGCAGTACCTATATTTCAAATGCAATTAAACTCAGAGACAGAAGTTAGTTAAAATCTCCACCGTATGAGAACTGTCCTACAGTGGGTTTTTTTTTGTTTGTTTGTTTGTTTTTTTGGTTTTTTGGTTTTTCTCCGGTACCAGGAACCGAACTCACGACCTTGTGCTTGCCAAGCAGGCGCTTTTGCCGCTGAGCTAAATCCCCAGCCCCTTGTCCTACAGTGTTAAAGGTAGTGTCACCTGTCAGTCATTACCCATGGAATTGTATTAAATTTTTCTCAGATCAGATTCCAAAATAATATATATTCATTCTTTTAAATCTCCTGAGTTAGGGCAAGTAAAGATTTTCACACTCTTGTCACGCTTTGCAGGTATTTTTTCTCAATTTTTCTGTTTTGTTTTCACTGGGATGTAGCACATAGGATGGGAAATGTCACCTTGGGGTCCACACTTTTGTGTCCCACTTGGAAAAGCGCTGGAAGAAAGTGATGTGCAAAACTCAGGGTGGATATAGCTCAGTGGCATAAGTGCCTGTCTGGCAAGCAAAAGGTCCTGAGTTTGATTCCTGGTACAAAAAAAAAAAAAAAAAAAAACCTCGGGGTGACGGGGAACAAAGGAGGCTCAGCTCAGGCATCAGGACTCAGACCTCATTGTGCAGGCCTGGTAGGGATATGAGAAACTTACTTTCACTGGCCCTTAAGGAATTCATGATCTAATTGGGATTGCAAAGACCCACATGAGGAAGGTGTCTAAAAATACAAGGTGGTATATGCCGCGTGTCAAGTAGGGCTGACAATAAATTCACTCTAGAGAAAGAAAATCTGGCTCTGGCTGCTTAGGGAAGCCACACAGAAGAGGCAGGTTAAGGCTGGTGGGTAGTGTGGGAATGATCTCTTTTGTTTTGTTTTGTTTTGTTTTGTTTTGTTTTGTTTTGTTTTGTTTTGTTTTGTTTTAGTAGGACAGATTCCAGGAGAGTCTAGGACTTTGGAATGGAGACAAGTAAAGGGGCATGTGCCAGAGGCAGAGAGTATTTTACAATAATTTGATATACAAATCAAAGCTAGCATCTGAGAATTTATAAATTGCAGTTAGTGACTGGGACATGGGATTTGCTTACTTGTACATGCAAGATCCTTCTATTGCGCTCTCTCTCTCTCTCTCTCTCTCTCTCTCTCTCTCTCTCTCTCTCTCTCTCTCTCTCTCTCAATGTCAAATGTACAAGGTGCCAACAGCATAGCCAGACTTGAGTTATGCACCTCTCACATGATACTACAAAGACCACGATGGGACCTCCATCTTTTGTTACGCTCTCCAGGCTGCTGCAGATGGCATTTAAAAGTAAAAAACTATAACAAAAAGCCCTGGTCCATGTGCAGCCCATGTGGCTTTTCTTTTTCTAGCAAAGAAGTTTGAGCATCATAAGACACCAAAGATTTCTTCCCTAAAGCGAAGCCAAGTGAAGGAAAACTCCTCTCTCTCTCTCCCCACTCTGCCTGACAGGGTGACTTTAAAACCATCTTCCCACCCCATCGCACCCACCCCCAGCTGCCAGTCTTCTGTCCCTGTAATCTCTCCTTCCCACTGAAAGCTGGCCGTCTTTGTGTGTGTGTCTCTTACCGACAACTGCTTATCCTCAGCAGGGCTTTTACCAGGGAGCCGCTCTGTAAGCAATCAGTCTCTTATCTGCATCCTTCAGTCCCGTCACTCCAGCCACCTCTTAATGTTCACAAGTTCCCCAAATGGGAAGTAATTGACCTCTAAACAAAACAAAAAAGCTCTCAGAGAGATAGCAGAGGTTCCTTTCCTGACTGTCCCAGGGCTAGGGTCTCACCTAGGCCAGGTGGATAAGTCAATAAATTTGCAGACTTCCTGGCTCCCTGTCCTTCCTCTCCCCACCCCACCCCCTCCAGTCAGATCCTTCTGATACCATCTGCAAGGCCCATGGAGCAAGAGTTGCCAGGGATTTGGGGGCACTTCTTTTTATGAGGTAATCACTATTACCATTATCACCAGGATTTGGTGGGATATGTTTAATTCTTTTATAAAAGCCATTACAAACACATTTAGAATGCCCAGCATTCTTGCCAGTTCTTCATTATATCACCTCGCCAACTGGCCCCTTCTCAAGCCTCTGGTTTAAAAGCTGTGTTCCCTCTCCTCTGTTCCTGAAGAACAGACCTTGACAGAGAGATGGTGATGCTGGGCTGGGGCTTGTCTCACTCTGGTCCCCGTTTGACTAAGAACAAGCTCTGAGGCCTTGAACCAGCCTCCCAGCCTCTTTGAGCTGGTTTCCACATTTATGAAATTAAAGAGCTGGGTCCTGAGGTTCTTATTTTAAAGTTATGCCTTCAACATTTAACATTTGGAGAGAGATCATGTATGCAAGAAACTACATAAAATGTATATGTACACTTTAAAAAATACCTATCAACACAGGCAGAATTCCCAATCAAGGCATGCCAGCTCCCCAAAAGTCCCTTTCCCCACACTTTGCCTAGAATGCAAATCTCTCCGCCCCTGCTTCTTCCTCAAAATGGGTATCAGCTCTTCTGGCTTCTGAAATAATAATTTCTAGGCTTTTCCACACGGATTAACTTATATGGACAATATGATTCAGTTTTGCCTGATTTTAAATATTGCATAGGTGGAATCATCCTGCAGCTATACTTTTGTGAGTTGCATTTTTTATTCAACTTGATTGTGTGTGATTTATCCATGCCATTGTGGGTAGCTTTAGTTTGCTCATATCCATTGCTGTGTTACACTAAATGCATGTACTTCAAAGATGTATTAATTGAAAATATAGGTCGTTTCCAGCTAGAGACTGGAAGAAAGACTCCTGCTACCAGGGTCATTCTCTCAGGAACAGCAGGATCAGGATCTTACAGCTGCAGTCTGTCCTGGGCTCTCTTGTTGTTATAAATTGCTGGACAAGGACCCATCTTCTGATAGACTTCTATCTGTGTAACAAATACCAGCCAGCACTGGCATACCCTTGTAAGTACTGTATGATTTCATTCCGGACTCACCCCTTCCATTTGAGGGGGAGCTAGTCAGTCCCTGTTCCTACGGATTCAACCAACTTTGGATTCAAAGCAAAAACACAGAAAATTTCAAAAAGGGAAACTTGAATTTGCCTTGCGATGAGCCCTACACTGAATCCTTAAGAATGAAGTAAGATGTAGGCCCCATATTAAGTAGTCTAGAGATGATTTGAAATATATGAGGGGTTGGTAGGTTTTATGCAGTTTCTACATCTCTTTATTCAAGGCACATGAGCATTCCTAGTTTTTGGTATCCAAGGAGTATGGTGCCTAGAACTACCACCCCCGCCGCTAAAACAATATACCAAGGGACAACTCTACATGCATGACTGCTCCCAAAGTCTCCAAGGGCCAGAAAGATGACAGTTACACTACGAGTTAGTGACCATACTGGAACTAAACCCCTCCAGCCCTGTATCACTTCCACTGAGCTCTCAGCAGGGCTTCAAGTCCTCACACAAATCAGATTAACTATTTAGTGACTTTGTTTTCTTTATGCCCTAAGTGAAAAATGCAGAAGACTGACAGAAGCCTCTCTGGAAAGCATTAAGAGGGGATGCATGGGTTAGTGGTGCAGCTCAGCTGTACAGTGAATGTGCTAAAAGCAGTCAAGGGGGGATGCAAATGAAGCAAGATGCCAGAGAAGCTGGCAGGGGTGGAAGAGATATAACTGCTAGTTATATCTCAAGTACCCGGGTTGAAGGGCAAAACATACTGGAAGACTCTGGTTTCTGCATCCCCGCTTCCTATTCTGTCCACATTTCCTGCTGCTCTTCAAGCCTCCAGGGAGGCTCATCCATCCCTCGGACCAGCTCTTCAGAGCACAGTGGAGCATTCAGCTCCTGAGCTCTGTTTTCTCAGAAGCTCCCGCCTCTCCCCCAGCCAGAAGAGAGCTTCATGGGAAGCAATCTGCCTTCCGCTGACTTTGTTTAGACTCCTCCAGCAAACTCCCTCCCACTCCAGCCCAAGAGAAAGATGTGATCCTAGTGACAGAGTCCAGATTCCACTGTAAGCAAAGCAAAGACACTGCAGCCCCGCCGCAAACCTCAGTGCATTTTCTACCACGATCCCCAAGGGACAGGTCTCATAAACTGGTCTCTGTCAAACCTGTCTTCTCCCCATCTATGCCTTAGTGATTCCTGCTGCCTCTTGTCACCAGATCAGCTTAATAGCTTGACACTCACAAGCCTAGGAAATTGGAACCCTAAGTGACAATGTGAGGCGCCCAAGGGGCACTTAGCCTGTCACGGCTCTTGGCTTCAGTCCTTCTGTCTGGAGCCCTTCACAGAGCCCCCTGGGGGCTCTCCTGGACATTCCCCATGGGAATCTTGCCTTAAAGCTGAGGTTGGGATGCGCTCCTTAGTACATGCTTCTGCAGCAACTTGGATGTACCAACATCACGCGCTGACCTTCATGTCAGTCGTCCTAAACAACAAGCCCATGTTTGGCCAGTGTGTTTCCAACCCAAGCTGTGCCTGAACTGGGCAGAGGCTCTTTACCCTATGCCGTTTGGTTATGTGATCGCAGCATGAATAGCTATGGTCATAGCTACCGTTGGTTTCCTTGCCTTGCCCCCACAAGTTCTGCAGGGAAGACTCAAGCTCTAACCTTGAATTCAAAACTCTCCGGAAGAAATCCTTTCTCTGTGAGAATAGAGATCTGGCTCCTGAGCCTCAGTAGCAGGAACCCTAAGAATTTCTGTCAGCCAGGGACAGGTCCATGGAGAGAAAGAAAGTACCTTCAGCCATTCTTCTATAGGTCAACTGAACTTTCATTAGCAAGGAGCAAAGAACATTCAGCTGAGCATCTCAGAGCAACATAAGAACCATCTCATTGAAAAATACCAGGAAGGA